GCTGTATGCCCCCAACCCCACCCCCCAGCCCCTCACCTACACACGCACACACACATCACCCTTCCACCACGTGGGCCGATTGGCCGGCAGCTTGATGGATAATTCATGTGTTGTGCAAGTCGGAGCTGGACCTGCAGACGATGATCAACCTTGGTCACAAGGCAATATTGCTTGTGGCCAGACAAAGGATTGCTTGCGAGTCACAAGTTGTGCCCAGACAAAATCAATTACGTTCTCAATGGTCGATTGCGAACCAATATCTGTTTCAACCTGAACTTTCGAACACAATCCAAGACAGCAGTTGCGAGCAGCAACTGAGGCACACTCCAACACCTTCCTATCCACAAGCTCCCAAACGAGGCCACGATTCTCCCCGAAATCCGCAGCGCCCTCCCAGCCGCCCATGCTTATGTGTAGTTTGCCGTGTCTTGGCTCGGCAAGCCCAACTTCTGCCTGCGTGCATTTGTTGCAGCTGCAGCCGCTCTCGCTGTACCATTTGGTAGGTGCTGCGCAGCACAATACAAGTTAGCACGAGCACGAGTACCAAATCCGCAAATCACGGGAAAGGAAGTCTCATGGTGCACGAAACCAACACACATAGGCGAAAGCTGCCTTCATCACACAGGCACCCATGCACATACGCATTACCATTTGCTTTTTCATTGCACCATACTTCCTGCATTCCAAAACATTTGGCAGTTATGACTTGGGGCCTTGTAAAATCCCATCTAAGCATTTTCAACAACTCTCAAATTTTGATCAGATGTTAAAGTTTGTGTTGATATTGATCCCTCAAATTTTTGGATCAATCGGCTAAATAGTGAGGGAGACATGATCCCTCCAGTACGGGTCTGTCAGACCAAATGTCGTCCTAGTCTCGTTGTGGTGCATAGATACGCAATTTGTCGAATACATAATGTAGGAGGTGCCAACGCCCCGCCTTGCACCTCTCCAACTTTGCTCCGATCTGCAGGCCGAAGTGCGTGTGCAACCCTCGCTTCTCCACTATGTAGTGAGGGCTCCAGCTCACCATGTTTAGGGGTTGTTTAGGGCCACCCGGAGATTTTGTCCGACGTGCCGTGTATGAGGGACCATATCTCCCTGAGCACTAGGTCAATTAAAGAAAAATTGCGTCGATGAAGATTCACACAGATTTTAATATCTGGTCGAAATTTGGGCACTATCGGCGATGACTTGATGGGTTTTCCCAAGGCCACGATAGCCTTAATTGCCATAATTGCCCCCTCCTCTTGGGATGGAGGAAATAACTATTACTTATACTTATTATTAGTTACTCATGCTCAAACATAAATCATCTAAAACTTCCAATGGACCATTTGATGTATTACAAATGGTCCAAATTAGTTGCCGAAGTGCTCCAAGTACTATGGTTTCTGAGCCACCTTGAGGCTTGCAAGATGTTTTAATTGGGGGCCAATATCTGCCTCAACACTGATCCGAAATGTTGGTGAATCAATATTGACACAAAATTAAATATTTGCTCACAATTTTAAACGCAATAAATATGTTTTGAGGGGACCTTCCAAGGCCCCAAATCATAACTGCCAAATTTTTTGGACAGAGAAAATATCCCAAACATCTTTGCCTCAATGACACGGCGGAGGCCTGGGGAAGGGGGCTCAAGCCTCTCGGTGCTCAAATGTGGCAGCTGGCCAAGGTGCAACGTTGAAAACCATCAACAATATAGTGTGAAGCACAGCGGTTAGTATATTTCTCTGTTAATTGGGTTCCTAAGAGTCTTCTATAATGTTGTACTATTGTATTGCGTTATTGTACATCATATCTCAGATATGAATTATAGTACACTACGACAGTACAACCTCATGTGATAGTAGGCTTTATCAGAAGCTTGTAGGTTCTTGAACCACGTCCATTGGGTTATTAGTAAAAGAGATATGGCAAGATATATTCTTAGTATTTAAGACCACTTTGCCGATATTGTATTTGGGTATGAGATACTATAATGGGGATAGACGCCCTCTATCATGGCGATAAGGTACCCCCAATACCCGAATCCCCTCTATTAAAGGGCTGCATTGTCACATGCCACGGGTGGTGGCATCCCCTCAAAAGGGTGGCCATCTATTGCCAGATTATAATTGTATCCATCACACCCACTTACACCCAGCGGCTGCAGCCGTGGGCCGCACGGCGCCGCCTACCCATTGTGTGCACAGCCGCACTGCTCCCGGCCAGCCTGTGGCTTGGGCCCACGCTGTGAACCCCGAAGAAATGAACGCCCTATAAAGCCTGCCGGCCATCTGGCAGGGGAGGCCCCATGGCATCATCGAGCGCCTCAGGAGGCGCATCGCCCACACAATGACCGAAAACCACGCCAAGCAGTGTGGTCGAAGGAAGGTGTGGAAGGTTTTGGTAGCAAGCCGCTTCAAGCTCATACCCCAATGATCGGGGATCGGGGCCCAATCCTCATAACAGCGGCAGCGCCTCCACCATCAGGAAATCCTAAAAACTGCGGCCCCATGCATGGGAAGGGTAAAATGGATGCATTATAAACAATGCATTTTCAGAATGGTGTTGTCCCTGGGTCTCCAACTGAAGTAGAAATCGTCTGTGACGTATTGGCTTGACTTGCCTTGTCCTCAGCATTTTCAAGTTGTTTGCTCAAAACCGTCAGCCAATTAGGTGGCAGCACAATTGCAGATGAACTTGTTGGCCATGGCTTGCTTGGGCCGACAGGTTGGGCCGGTTGGTACTTGCCTGACATGGCAAAATGAGATTTGGTCCTTAATGAGTCTTTCGATTTGGGGTGGAAGTCAGTATTGCAGGCCATTATTTAAAACAATTGCAGTGTGGACCCGATGCCATTATGCCATAGCAACGGCGCTAGGGGCTTTACTGATGGTGTGTTAGTAACAAGATTACTAATCAACCAATTTTTCCATCGAATGGCAGAATCCACACAATCAACAGCATTAGACGGTTGGTGCTCACCACCAACGGCCCCCCATGGAGCAATCTGTGAGGGAACTAGCGCCTAGCTGAATGGCAACCAGGTGGTACAGCGGTGGCCGGCGAATCTTTCAATGTTAATACTTAGCGATATTGCCTGGCGCTCTTCTTTCACAGACTCATTCCCCGATTTTCTGTGTCGCCAATGTGCCTTTGTTTTTCTGTGTGTGTGTGCCTTGTGCCTTTGATCTTCTGCGCATTTAATGTGCCTTTGTTCTGCCGGGTGTGTTGTGTGGTTGTGCCTTCATGTGTTGCATTGTGTTGCCTTGTTTTGTTGTGATGTGTTGCCTATAATGATGAGCGGTCACATAGGGTTGTCTACTTTTAGGGGGGCCACTTTTGACCGATTCGAAGCACCACTGTTTTCCCAAAGTGCTCGATGTGCGTTGTGCGATCAGCTGGGCTACCATACATGGATTTCAGGTGACAATGCAATGCTCGAGTGACCCCACACCTCCGGCGACACTCCCAGCAAGTGCATTTCTATCTTGACAAATAATGTCAGTACCAAAAATTTAGGATAGCCCCTAACGCTTGAGCACATTGCCATCGATATCGGACGGAAAAGAACGCTCAAATGGCGCAGAATGGCACACGCCCAAAGGTAAACGGCAAAACATGGCGATCGGAACACCATGCACAACGGCCAGGAATTGGCCCAAGTGGCACCGTACAGCGCCATGTCAAAGTTGGCGCCACAGAAATTAGTAATTTTTCCAATTTATATTTGAATTGAATTAACTCAAATGATGGTGCTGAGTAGGCCAAACAAATCAAAACATAGGCTTAACAGCCCCTGACTGCATTCCAAACCCAGTGCTGACCTCTAATTTCTGGGTTGCAGGATTGTCGTTGGGATTTCGCTACCCACTTTGTTGTGGCCCTATTGGAACAGCCCCTTTTATGCAGCCCCCCCCCCCATCACGTAGATTGTTCTTCTTATTGTTGGCAACCCCACAGCGCTGATGCGTGAAAACGGACAAAATACATATGACCGTGGTATTTTCCTTTACGATTCCAGCGACAGCTGACACTCCCATTGACATCCAACCATCGGTCGCGTCGTGGGCACCCTGGTTTCCCTCACCCGATTGGATCAATGGCATCAAATAATTTACGCAATAAAATCCCCATCAAATGGCGAATGTATCATGCCAAAGCACAGCCCAGCGCCCGCAACCTCTTCACAGCTCTTCCCATGCCATGGAGGCCCCGTGTCCGCTGCTCCCAACATGCATCAACCGACCTGCTGAAATATTGCATCACACCATCATGCGCCTCTCTGTCTCCAGGATGATAATGGGTCCACCAGATAGGCCCTCACCTTCACAACGGCTGACCAACGAACGCACTAACCAACCTGGGTGCATCACGGCTCCAAAACGTGCACAGCATCCACATGCATCCCAGAGCCCTGCGTCAATCCATCCCCCACACCCCCTGGACAAGACGTTTCCCTTCCCAGCGCCCCTCCTGCAAACTCAAAATCAAAAATATCCCAGATTCGAACCTCGAAATCCCAAAGTTCGAGGCTCCGATCCGCTTCCCCTCACTTCATTTGTGTCACGAGCGCAGCGCCCAGCAACACGCATCCAGCCGCAGCCGGCGAGCCATACCGCGCCGCCATCGCCCCCGCCGCCGACAGCTCCGGGCTCCTCACGTGGTGCAACAGGCCCAGCAGCACCGTGAACAGGCTCAAGGCGCCCACCTGGTGGGCGGACCCTAAGGCCACGGGCACGTGCGTCAGGAGTGTGACGACGCCCAGTGACGCCTGGCCGACGGCGACCACAGCGGCAGCGGTGGCAAGCCGGCGGGCTGTGGGGGTGAGGGCGAGGCGGCGGGAGGCCACTACCATCAGAAGGGTGGCTACGACGGTGGTGTACGCCAGTAACCTGGGGCCAAGGACAGCAACGGAGCCGCTGAGCGAGCAGATGGATGATGAATGGATCTAACGGCTAATTCAGTCTTGTTGGTGGCGCCCCAGTCTTGATAGTGGTTCACCAACCCTAGCCCGAAAACGAAACTACCCAGCAAGACTGGGGCACAGCAAAAAGCAAAGTAGTGTCAATGGTGGATATCCAATGCGAATGTGCATACATGTGCATATGCGTAGTATGTTCAGCATTCGAAGAGTATTTGGAAGAGTTTGCGTTGCTTTTATCCGGGATTCCGTTCTTCCACAATAAGGTGGGAGATGGTCGCTCATTTATCCGCATTGGGAAGCGGCACACAAGCACCCCTTTTAATCGCATTGATGCTCGTGCCCAAGCGCAGGCACTGGATGGGTGCCGCAAGCCATGTGCATTAAGAGACGAACAACAAGCGAGCTCTGTGCACGTCACGGGAAGGCTGAACGGCCGTTGCAACGCCAATCTGCGCAACCCCCCCCCCCGTTTCTCTTCCTCGCGCTGGTGTCGGAGCAGCGACCGACTGGTTGGCAGTGAGCGCAGGAGGGCACACCTGAAGGGCCAATGCCCCGTCATGACCGTCTGTTGATCAACAGACGGTCGGGGGTCGGCTTGCCAGCAAGGCCGCCTCTTGTCCCCGCCCATCATGCGACGGGACGCTAGTGCCAACCCACTGCGCTGTCCATACGCGTGGCAGCGCATCTGGGGCCTCGATTCTTGCTAATGTTTTTCTGTTCAGCATTCCTCCAGAGCAGCGTGCTCCTTACTTTTCCAGCTACGCATACATGGGCAGAGCGTTGCGTCCGTTACAGAGGCGACAAATATACCACGGTGTGTGTGCATGCACATGCATAACTGCTGCCGCTCAGAATCCGCACATGCGCTGTATATATTACATTCAAGCAGATGGCCCCAAATTGTGATAAGCGATGTCATGAGATTGCCCATTCAATCAGTCCCTCTCCAGCAAATAATTATGTCCGTGGCCACGAAAGCGTTGGCGCAATTTGCTTGCATCGCCAGGTAGATTATAGATGAGTACTTCAACAAAATATAGCTTGTTCACGAGCTACTCCTTGACACTCTTTCGCTGGGTGAACTGGAGCTGTCGGCTGCTGCCTTGCCATAGTGCTCAATATTCCCCGATTTTTGATTACATCACATCAAGCAACAACAGGTTGTGCAGAATGCAAAGATACACGCAAATCATGTCCCAACTGGCCCAAGATTGTCAAACAGACAACGCGTCGTGGGCCCCATTGCTGCCGTGCCAAGTCTGAGTGGTATTGGCATCTCCACCTCTACGGTTCGCAGGAAAGTGGCCCATTCAGATATCCTATTTTCATCGGGGTCAGCGACAGCAGGAGAGTTTCGAGTTCTTGGCAGGAGTGTCAACAGTTCAAAGTACTGCTGTTTACGCAATATTTGCTCGTTTATGACAACATTCAAGGCGCATTCAGAAAACTGGCATGTAGTGCCCTGCTCTTGATTTTCAAGGAAAACAACAAAATTGATACGAGCGTTGTCTCACGAGCGAACCGTTTCATACATTCCCGGACAGAGGAAGTATGACTCGGCCTACAGCAGGATGACGGCCATATCGTCCCACATCCGCCATCCACTCTCAGCAACTGCAACGTATGTGTGCTCCTCCCACCTGTGGTTAAACTGCACTGCAGCAGTGTTCTCGAAGAAATTGCGAGGCCCGTCGATAGCAAAGTAGTCGTCTGGCACCCATTGTCCGTTCATCGTGGGCCACGTGTTGAATGCGTGCCCAGCGTCCATGCCCGCCACGAAGGCGCCGGAAGTAGCCGTCACGCCCACCAGGCAACTCAGGGGAATGAGCCAGCCACGCAGCCTCGCACCACCTGCAAACAAACTCTCGCCTTCTATGCACAGTGCTTGTTGCGCAGATGACATACCTGTGGTCCTGAAGGCCTCCTGTCAAGGTTTTGTTGTTGGCTCTAGCTATTCTGGATACCAGCAAGGGGATGTGGGTTTGGGCGCCGGCGGTAGTGCTAGGTACTGAATGATGAGCCAACGGGCACCGCACGATTTGGTGTCCTTTTCCTGTTCTAAAGTTCTGCTTCAAAAGTACATCACATTTAAGAGTCCAAGTGATCTAGTGGTACTTCATACTACGAATAGTACGAAATGCAAGGCACATGATTTAGCGCAATGGCCGTTTGTTTTTTGTGTGTTCCCAATTTTTCACCTTGTCTAAGCGCGAGGGAGGCGCTCGAGAGGGCGGGCGTGGGCGCTGCGGTTGTCATGGTGGTCCACGCCAACAACGCGTAGATCCCAAAGGCAGACACGAGATGGGCGGCCAGGCGATAGGGACTGACCCGCGGCACAGCATGGGGGTCTTCAGGCTCCTGCACATGCGGCAAGGTAATCAATTTAAGTGATGATGGCAGTGCACTATTGCAGTGCATTCCAAAAAGCAATAATTCGCGAATCGAATTGGACATGTTGTTCACGATCGTTTCAGTTTAGTCCACTCCGTGTTGTTTTGGCCGCATCGCCCAAATCCTGCAGAATTGGCGGAATTTTGTATATATTGTATATATTTTGTATATATATGATGTTCCCCCGTGAGTCTTGCACCGCATCCGTCTAAGATGCATGAAGTCAGCCCCAGCCTGATTCCGCCTACCGGACACAGTCCAGCACCGTAATATTATACTGTAGTACAATAGCTGCACGTAATTTACGCGTCTCGTTTCATTCCCATCGGTGAGAATGTTTCGCCATCACAACACTTTTGCCACAGGGCCTATGAATCAGCACACCCAATGCTCAACCCAAATACCAAACAGCAACCTAAAAGCAAAGGTTAATAATAAACACAAGAGAAATAAGAAGACTTGGATCCAGGATGAGCTGAAAATTCACTAACAAAAAAGCTGAAAGTACTTTGAAGTGCGCATCCCGTGGGCGCACCTGCAGGCCGCTCCTGACCATCCACCATCCCACCAGCCCCTGCGTCCCGCCCATCAGGAATAACAGTCCCAAGCGGCGCCCCATGAGCGGTGTGATCATGCCCCTGCTCAGAAAGTACACCGCGGGGCCAGCAAAGACCAGGCCCAGCATGCGCCCCCACATGCGATGCATGTACTCCACCCAGTATATGAACTTAAACTCCTCCAGGCTAATGCTGCGGTTGACGCGCTCCCACTCAGGGCTCATACGGTACAGGTCGAAGGCGAGGCCCCAGTCGCGGGCACTCATTGGGGGCCTCTCACCTGGGAGGCATGAAACAATAAAGCCTTCTAAATCCATTATTTATTCGTGTGTTTAATTTGCATGAAGTGCAAACAAACAGTGAGCCATTCGTTAAGAAGTGGCACACATTACCCACACACCTGGAAGGCGGCGAAATGCACAACCGGGGCCAACACAAGGGCCAAAACAACAAGGCAGTAATACCTGGACTGGCCCCGTTTCAACATATGTCACATGGCTGATGCAAGATTTTCACAAGAATATGCTTAACGCTGGTTGAACATCGAATTAACAGGTCTAAAAGCTGCATAATGCTGACATACAAATATCAGCATTGTGTATTCACAAGTTCCGAATAGAACAAAGGAAAAAACAAATCAAGCAAAAGGTTGTCTGCAACTGGTAATTTTCGCCGGTGCATATGAGCCGCGATCTCCCACATCAGACTGGCTTTCGTCTCCGACATACCAAAAAGCAGGTTGAAGGAAAAACATACTGCACAAGGTCCTCGAAATCTGCACTTGCATCAGCTTCTGACTGGCTGAGCTACGCAGAGACCCAACACCACGAACTGCAGGCTACAACATATCCACGACTACATTATACCCATTCAGCCCCGCTGGGGCAGCCTTCATGCCTGAGAATTTCCACTCCGTCATGGAGAGTCCTGAGCGTGTCAGCCTCGTCACACCGCCAATGACGACGAGGCTGGCGACCCACGCGCTGCATATGCCCAACCACCACACGAGTTGCCGCCGGGAGGGGTCACTCAGCCCAGCCGTGAGGAGCTCCGGTCCTCCCTGTCAGACAAATCTTTCCACTACATTTATCAACATATGGCAACCACTGCCCTTGCAAGGTCTTCTTTGCAGCAAATCTTGCTGATGGGGCGATGATGGGCGTTAGTCCATCGACAAAGTCTGTTCGGAATTTTCCAGAATACTTGCACTAAAAACTGAATTAAATCCAAGCAATTGAATCTACTGTTCCAACATGGCATTTTCTTCCACACAATTGGCAACCAATGTATGGATCCTGTATGCTGTATCGCACGTTAGAAACTGCAGGTACAAAATGTAGCTTCACACAGATTCCACAAATCAATATTTTCAGTACACTATTCGATTTCTCTCCAAATGTTCGTTTAGAACAGAAAGACCACCTTACCCACTGGAACGCAGGGCTCTGCAGTCAGGCTTTGGGCAAGTTAAGCCCAGTTTGAGCCACAAAGTGCTGTTTCGTTCTCTTGTTGCAAGATATCTGAATCTCGAATACCAAAATGACATTAGCACCATCTGTCTGATGCCAAAAGGAAGGCAAAGAGAACTTGGAAATGACAGAGACACAGCCAATGAACGTGCTGCACTTGCAAAGCCTGTGTCCTGGATTGCTAAGCCATTGCTGCAGTTGCTCAGGAGGTTATCTAGTTAGTCAAGCTACACAGCACATGCTGTTGCCACAGCCAGATGCGGTTGTCAGGAGTTTTGGATGGAATGAGCAATGCATTGCAGGGGAAACCACAAAAGAAGCCAAAAAGATAGACAAGAAGGTACCTCAGTGTTTCCCCTTCTGACTGATTTGTGGAATATATCAGGGGGGGCCTGCTCAGCATCCTGTTAATAATCTGCTTACCACTGGCAGCCCTCTTGAAGATTCTGCTGCCACACCTGTGGTGGCAGACCTCCATTGCTGGCAGAGTAATCTTCTGACCCACTGCCCTGACCCAGGAAGCCTCTGGTCCTGCCAGTTGCGAACGAGGGCCTGCAGCCAGACAAGGGAATAGAATCAAGACTGCAAAGAACTTTCTACCTCGAATTCCCAGCATGTTCCAAGAAAAAGCGTTTGCATCCCAACGTCAACCAACAAATCAAGATACCTGCTACATCCCCCTGCTATGGCAGATGTCACACAGTGCCTTTTGTGGTACAGTGAAACATAGCACATGCACCTCTTTGTTGTTCCAGCAGGCGGCACTGGAGCCAAACGCAACTGCGGAGTCACATCGCAGGTTTGTGATGTGATGGGAGGAACGATTGGACAAGCACCGTTCCTGAAGTGCACTGCAGCTGAGTGCAGGGAGTCCAGTGATTTCTTTAATATTCACAAAGAACATAGAACCCAGGCGCCTTCCAAGGTGTTGAATGGCTCTGGATTCATGGCAGTGTTCGTTTGGGAAATGCTTGCAGCTGCCAGCCAGCTGGCGACTGCAGTCTCCTCCCTACCATCCGGAAGCAGCGACCTGGACATGCCCAGGCTTCTGCTCGTAGATGCATTGGCGCCAAATGTGTGTCCATGCAGGAATTGCTCTCGAGCGGCTTGCGCCCGATTAACAATTTGAGGATCAAAGCTGAGCTGAGCATCGCCAAGCACAACAAGCTATTCATCTCATAATGGCAGCGCGCAACTTTCAGAATACAAGAACGTTTTGGCCCCCGACTGGCGTCAAGACAGTAGATTGTTCTGGCCTGTCCATCACCATCGTTGGGTGGTGGCAGCTCATCAAGGCGACCCGACCGTCCTCCCAATTCGCAATCGACCAGATGAGGCCACGCTGAGGCCCTGATAGTGGACAACGACGCACCCCATTGTGCACGCGGTGCGAACGGTTGGAGTGCGGATACACGATCAATCGAGAAACAAAACGCCCCTGTCACCCCCCTGTCCTCTCCTGCCAGGCGCAAGGCCCCGCTTTGCGCCGCAGCGGCAACTGCCATCCAAAGCATTCGCTTGGCGAGGGCCTCATCGACATCCACTCACCGCCAGGTTCTCCCCTTTTGCCGCTGACCCCACACACGCCTGTCGCAAGCATGCAGTGAAGAAACCTAGCGCCTGCGGTGGAGATGCCGACACGGAGGTCTGCGCATCGGCCAGGATCCCGCCAGCAAGGGCGCCGTTCTCCCTTGTATGAGCCAGCGGCGATCCCGCCATTGACGCGATCCGCCGGACCAATTTTCTGGAGAGCATGGCTGGCCAAGAGGGGGAGGAGGTGGGGAGTGCAAGGGCGCCTGGCGAGGAGACCTCAATGGGCAGACGGGTCGTGGAGTGGGCAAAAACTAGTGGGAGCCTGTCGCGGTTGCTCTCTCCGTGACCTGGGGACCGCAATGGGCGTGTGTGCGTGCGGCCCTGAAGCGTGCCCGAACAACGAGGAAAAAAGTCCGCAAACCGAATGGAAAACAAACCAGACCGGGGAGAACGGCGGATTACCAATGGGTCGAAAAAATTGTCCCGTGTGCGCACGAGCGAAGGTGTTGTGGAAGGACGCTGGTCGAATCCGGGGGGAGAAAGCGACCCTGCACAGGAAGGACCCCGCCCTCGCCCGCGCGGGACAGCTGGCCGACTGCAGCCGCCGTGACACCCCCCTATCGACGCCCGCTAGTGGCCGCGTTGTAAAGTCAACGAGCGCCTGAACCACGGGCGCAATAATCGGCGCGGGAGGAATGTCACGGTTGAGGAGGGGCGGCCCGCTGGCAGCCGCGGCCCTGGCCGCCGTGCTCGCCAGGCTCTTCGTGGATTGGGTCAGGTGGGCGCCGTGATGCAGTTTCCCCGCGGAAGGGCGGGTGCTGTGGGACCGCCGACCTGGCCGGCGATGCCGGCGGGGGTGGTAATGGTTCGTGCGTGTGTGTTGTGCCCGGCCTGTTGCGCAGGCCGCCGCTCCTGATTGTAGGCCCGGTCACGGTGGACGACGTCAACGGCAACAGAACAGTGGTGCGATGTGAGGATTGGCAAGGGGTGGACGCGGTTGAGGCTCGTCGGATTGTTTGGATTGCCAACGTTATTGGCAACGTGCCAGCGTGGCCCAGGCGTCGAGATCGTCGGGCGGGGGGGCAAGGGCCTTTCTTAAAAGCGGCGCAGTGCTCCGGTTGCGCGGGTGGGCGCCCGCCGACGATTGACGCCCAGGTGGAAGTGGCATCGCTCTCGCTTCGCCTGCTCGCTGCGCCACGCCGCGCAACAATTGTAGTGCGTTGGGGTCGAACCTGCCAGAAGAAGGGAGACCCCTGCCGCAGCAATCGAACTTCGAAGCCGGCACATCCGCGGCACTCTATCCCGCTGGACGCCTCCTCAAGGACATCGCCGGCTCCCTATCCGCTCCTGTGTCAATGAACTTGGCCTAAGTTGATTCGGCTTGCACAGCGCGAGATAGGTGCTGGAATTGGCACGCCTGCAGAGTGCTTTTCTCGCCCAGCGATCCCATGCAGCGTGGAGGGCCTCAACCCCCGATCGCGGACGGGTTGCCTATCTTGCTGGTGGGCTGTGTGCTGAGGGTGCGCTTTGGCATCGGCAGGGCGGCGCCGCGACCTACGCGGCCGCCGTGGCGAAGGCCTACGGGAAGAGGGCGTGCGCCGTCATATGTGAGTCCGACTGCCTTGCAAGCTTCGGCCCAGCTTTTGGCCGCTCCGTGGCTGTGCCGAGATGGCTGGGTGCCTCTGACGGCAGTTGCTTTGTCTGGGCAAGACAGCGCCATTGCACCTTGCATGCTTGTCTGCGCCCCAGCTGTTGCATGTCCTCACAAACGACGCAGCACAAACGACGATGTGCCCAGCTGCAGTCGTTCATGTGACTCAAGAGAATGTTCCATTTTCTGACCCTGTCCACTGCATTAGTTCCGTGTCTGTTAAGCAGGCAGTGGGGAGCATTTGTGCGAGCTAGGATTTCTGCAGACAGTTCTGGACCACTGCACACAAACCATGAAAATGGCTGATTTCCCCACAATCTCGCCATCCAGCAGAGCAAGTCGTCATTCCCCAATGCTTGTGCTGGCAGCAGGCATGGAAGTTGGATATGAGCTGCTCCTTACACATGTGCCCTGATGCTTTGTTTTCAGAAATGTCCTGGAACTGCAGCCAAAAGCTGTGGCTGAGAATGGAAATGCAGCCCTGCCTGTGAAATTCAGCTCACCACATTTAGCACTGTCCAAGGGCATTTTGCATCCCAAACAGATGGTACATCCAGAGAAAGCACAGCATACAGAAAGCACGCAACAGCCAGACAATCAGGTTTTGTGTAAACCTTCAATTCTATGCCAGGCAGTAGAACCAAAGTTGGCCTTGTGCATCAGCAAAGCTCCGTGCCAATAGGCTACTGCCTGTGTTGACGAGGCACTGTGTGGCAAATGAATTTGCTGCAAGGTGGTGTAGAAATCCACTGTCAGGCCAGTTGCTTTGTAGTGTGGAACAGCGCTTGCTGGCCATGTAATCACCATAAGTTCAAAGTTGCGTTGGTGTTTGGTTTTTAGTTCACAGCACATGTATATACATAGCTTCAGATTCCTGCTTCTGAATTGTGGAGGGTCCCCAGTGGGTTGCCATCGGTGTTGTGCAGCGAATTTGGCTTTGGCAAAAATCCTGAGCATGCTGCACCCTGCCAATTTGTTGTGTGTGTGTGTGTGTGTGTGTGTGTGTCTCTCGATTGCTGCTGTTCAAACATAACTTTGAACGGGTGCTTGGCACTGACAACATGTTCCATTCTTTTGTAGCTGCTGGACCTGATGCTGATCTGTCGGTGTTTAATGACCACGATTTGGTGGTGGTGAGCAGTAATGCCACCTTGACTTTTGAACACACTTACACATGGTGGGGTAAGTCACTGCCGTGCCTGCCATGATGTGTCAACGGTGTGGTATTTAAAGCCCCCAAGGACATCAAAGTGGCCAGGGCAATCCTAGGGTGCAGTTGCTGTGGTTTGTGACAACTGCTGTTGCGATCCTGTGCTTTGCGTCAGGCCCATCACTTTATTCACTATCTGGGCATGAGAAACAGTCTTTGAGAGACATTGCTGCGAACGCGATTCCCAAAAATGGCTGCAGCACTGCATGTGACATACTCTGTCACGTCCACTTTCATCAAACACATTGTTTGGCAGTGTGCACATCTACCATGCGTTCTCCAGCAGATATGTGTGTTTTTCTCTCCTTCATCACCAATGTGGTGACTGCAGTCCTGAGGGGGCCTGATCAGTTTGCATTGTCAAATGGATAAGGGAAGGAACCTGTTGTACAACTTTTCTGGTTGCACTGGGACAGCCGTATACTGGAGCTAAGAGCAGGAGGCATTTTTCAACAACAAGGCAGAATGACACAGCACGTCCACTGATATTTGACAATTCTCCACAGAATTCTGTAATCAACCCTCAACAGATTTTGTTTGCAAAAATCAAAAAAGTATACTTAGCACTAGTTTCTATAAAAATATGCATATGTTTATTACTGTAGAACAACAGTGCATGTTCCCAGGCCAGCTCGGCTGTGTGTCCATGTCTCAGAATGATACGAGTTTGCCAAAGATATTGCCTTGTGGTAGCTGGTTTCTCGAGTGGCAGCAGTTTATTGTTGGCAGCCGGCAAGAGAAGTTGCTAATGTTGCTATGTCCATGGGCTAAAGGGAACCAGCGCAAATTGAGGGTGCTGTCCACTACGGGGAAGTTATTGAGCTTGCGACATGTGCCGTGGCACTGCCGGCTATCGCGTGTGGTGCTGCTTGCACCGCTTATTCCTGAAGACCTGAACGCCGCCGAATTTGTCAAATTCTCAGGTGAGCAACAACTGGGCCCGCTTCCTTCCAGAGACAAACCCCCTAAGGCTTTGCAGTTGCGGGATAGACTTCTTGTTTTGCTGGCTTTCTGCCATTGAAAAACTGTGCCCAACAACAGGATATGGGATTCTGGATGCCAATGCCTTGATGTTGCTGTTTGGTGCTGTGGTTCAGAATCAGGGCCAGATACATCTGGTCCAGATCGTGGTCTGGGCATCTGGACAAGTTCGGTAGCAGCTGCTGGAACAGAAACACAAACTTTGTTGTAGCACCTGCTCATGGCTTCTGGCAATGCCTGTTTGCAATATGGTGTGATGGGAGCGATGCTGTATCAAGGCGCCCAGCCAAGTCCAGGATATTGTGGGTTTGCAGAGATAATGCCATTGGTACAGGTGCAATTCTGGCTGCACTAGTATCAGACATAAGCACTGTGATTTGGCACATTCATTGCCTGTCCTTTGGGACAGGAGATTGTAAGAGTTGAATGAATTGTAAGGGGCCCCTTTACAATTGTCAGATTCAAGGGGACCTTCAGTCGTCCATGAGACTGAACAGTCTTAAACAAACAGCATATGCTGTATGCCATGGGAAGGTGACATGAATACGTGATGTGGGATGGCATGAATTCTCAGTGATTGACATACACTTTGTGCCATGGGAAGGTGACATGAAAATGTGATATGGGATGGCATGAATTCTCAGTGATTGAACTAAAAATATACAACATGTCAAAGCAGCGAACACCACAAATCGGAGTAGTGTTATGCATCTTGGTTATTGTTCGGCAAAGTTGGGCACAAGATGGCATGGGGCAGGTTGCTGTCCTTCTGGTCGCACATCTTGAATGTGCTGTTTTCTTTCCTTCCTAGGCTTTTTCCAGTGGCTGTTGCCTCAACACATTGGGCTCATGGCCCAGGGCTTTCAACGGGGGACAGGGAGCAAGGGCGAGGTGATGGCATTTGAACAGCCATCGCAACAGCTCATGGTACGTGGGCATTGTCCGCAGAACTAGGTCTGAGGCAGATTTTTACTTTTACTTACTTTTGCTGATGTGGATGTTTCTGACCTTGCTGATATTGCTTACAGTAGCACATTATCATTGCACCGTACTTTCAGTCCCATAATCATATTGCTGTACTGTCTATGTCTATTGTCTGTTGTTGTATTGTCTTGTACATCAGGGCGTTCCTGAATGACAAAACACATTTGTTTGTGTGCGCATTCAAAATCGTGATGGCCACGTGTCCCAAGCTGGATTGTTTGTACTGTCCCCAAACAGTGCTGGACATGAGAACTGTATGCCATTCACTGGAGTAAGTCTTGCTGTGCAGCCCAAGCGTTAAAAGTCACAGGCATGAACATGTTGGTGCTGGTCTTTGCAATGGGAGCATACCTTGGTTTCTGATGCAGCCCTACAGGTCTACCCCTGTCCAAATCTATGCATTCCAAATTGCACCACATCGCCCAAAGATGTAAGGGTGGCGCTCTGCCACATTTTGAAGGATGTTGACACTCACTGCAAAGGCACATATGTCAAGTTTTAGATCGACATATTATCACTGCACCAGTTCCACGATCCTGTCAATTTTGTTTTGAACAGTGGCTATGTCATTTGCAGGATGGCTTGGGTCCTGGCGTCTCTGTGTTTTTGTCCGATGTAGAGACTGACTCATGGCAGAAGGAGACACTGTCGAGCGTTGTGAACAGGGCTGACCGGCTGCTGATCACAAGGGGTGGCGATGGGGCTACAGAATACAGTAATGGGGCTGTGAAGCATATACCAGTGCAGAAGGTGGGTCCCTTCTGCACACTGAACATGTAAAGGTCTGGGCATCCCCTCCTGGGCAGGAATGTGAGGGCCTCATCAGCACTGTACAACATGTGGTGTTCCTTTTGAATTGTGTGTGTGGACATTGACAAACAGTGCAAACAATGGAGGTGGGGACATGTCACCTGTGCATTGTGTATGAAAAGGGATTACAACAAGGCATTGATGCAAAGAGCATTTTCATTATCCTACAAGTTGTTCTGAATGCAGGTTGTCAAAATAGGCTGTGGAGATTACCTACTGGTACTTATTACTGAAGCTGTTTTTCTAGAAAGTGTAGGTTAATCAGCTGGTGTGGAAATGCGTTACCTACACTCCAGCTGTAGCCTGCCCTGCCACCTGAGCCACTTGCACTGTTCAGCACTGAGCTTGCTGCGCCAGCATTTAGTCTCTTATCGATATTGCAGGTGGTCTCCAAGGGTTAGATGCCAAGGAGATAGTGCAACACTCTGAATTGGTGCTGGCATATGGGTGCACTGGATGTGCCATCAAGTTCCTGCCATACAGGCCAGCGTCCCAGGACTGCTGGAACGATGCCCCTCTTGATGTGTTGCCAGGACAATTTATCAAGTAGCAGTCACATGCCGAAAGCTATTGCCATGTGTACACACCGACAGGCATGTACTGTTAGGGTCAGGGTTGCTCGATTGAAAAGATGAACAGAAAGACACTTCAGGAACAATGTTTCTGATCCAAAGAGTGCTGCAGCATCGCACAACAAGAAAGAAAGAGAATGCAAATGATTAGAGGACTGTTTGGCATGTTTCAGCAATGTGCTGAATGAAAACTTCGTCATGGCCGCAGGTTGAAGTGCTTGAAGACACGAATGGAGCGGGTGACACTTTCGCCACTGCTTACATGCTGGCGCTGGCCAGGAGAGATGCGAGCCCAGGGGCTGAGGCTGCACGAGCGGCTGCCAGGACCGTCATGCGACCACAGGTCGGTGTTGTGCTGTTATTGGCAACAAGGCATTTTGCCGTGATCAGGGGTCCAGCTGCTGACCCTGCCCCAGCAGAAGGGTGTAGGCCTTGCGCCAACTCACAAGAAGATACGCATGTGGATGTGATGCCCAAGAGATTGCTCACGCAAATGCGAGCGCTCTGTGTAAAGTAGAAACATTGGCATTCCGGGATCACAGAACGTGGCGAACCGCTATACTTCGTTGCTTCCCATGATCTGAACCTTGAGAATTCACGATTGCGCGTCATGCATGACGAGGCATGTGTCCCATGACCTGATTCCAACAATTCGCAGCTCAAAGGGCACGGACAAACTGCAGGCGTGCCTGGCTTCGAAACGCACTGAAGTACAGACACTGGCTGCTGGAACACAGTGCTTAACACGGCGTCGGTGCGCCGTGGACGGTGACCTGGCTTTGTGCTGGACTGGCTGATGATCACTGCCCACGCAGGTCTGCAAGCCTTGGTGCATCGGAGAAGACATGGACCTCCCCCTATCGCCACCAAAGAAGGACGGAGGCGCCAATAGGGGCACCATCGCATCCCTCCTCCGGGGCATGTCCTCAACAGTCTTTCTCAAGACGGGCGCGGTGCGCGACTTCCTCAGGGCGCAGGCACGGAACAGAGACTGCATGGCCTGAGACGGAACAATTCCGAAATTCATTCTTTTGATACGGGGGAAGTCATGCCGCAGCCTCGTGTTCATCTGCTTTGGAGCTGTGGCTTTATTCCTGGGTTGCCGCCTCCCCACCGGGCGCCCCGCAAATGGAGGTAGACTAGCTGCCTGTCATTACATGGCGGCGAATAGGAATTGGTTTTTAGATACGTAGATTCTTGATTTTCTGGCAGGGAGGGGCACTCTGTGGGCTCGCTGGATGCGCCCCGCCCTTGCTTTCCGTAGTGGAACACATTTTCTGGAAAGTGAAATGCTGCTGCAGTAAGTGCAGCGCAAGCAGCAGCACATTCGCCCAGTGCTTGTGAGTGTCGCAGGAGAGGGCGGGATGGCAGAGTTATGTCACCTTTGTGTGGGACGCCTCTCATAGTGGGGTCGAGGTCAAACGATTGAAGACACCCCTTCATGGCAGTCGGTATTTGTGCGTGTGCAAAGCCGTCTGCTTTGAACGAAGTGACCTGTGGCTTATCAAGACCGGGTTCGACGCACTTCGTTGTTCTGCAGGATCTCGGTGTGCACGCGCATACCAAGATGTGGGTGCATCGTTAGCAAGACATGTCTTATGCATGAACGAATGAATGTACTCTTGTGCGCCACGTATCTGAACACACGTGGGTAACACGGTTGTCGTGTCGCATGTCGCTGTGGCGTGCTTCGCTGCTGAATAGCTGTGCTGAGAAAGCATCAGTTTCTGAGCGGCCTCCAACAGCTCACGAAGCAGCACCGGTAGCCGCCTGCCTCAGATCATCAAGAGGCTGCGGAGTAATACAGTCCACTCAGAGTCGGAGATAGATATGCATGAATCTGGCTGTTTATGTCTATCGGTTACAACATCGCCTCATTGTCAGCGTGCGATACTCAGGCAACAGCGCAAGCGCCACAACCAATTCGGTTAAGGGAGGGAGCTTATGGCAATTACAGCGCGCTGGCCATCCGATTTGCGGACAGCTGCAAACCCCATCTTCCCCACCTCTCGGCGCCAATCCCTGTGTCCATCTTGCATTCGTCCTAGTTTCTGAGCAAGTCGTAAGTGGTTTGACACTGATCAGAAGCGTTTGGGGCAAGTCCACCGCTTCTGTCGGTTTTGTGGAAATTTTACAAAATCTCTGCGTCACAGTTCTGGATCCCCACCCACCCACGCACACCTACTTTAGAGTCAAACTGACGCTAAGCATACCAAATTCGATATGGTGCCGCCCTTTGTTGCAGCGAAAAATCGCTGTTATTGTGTTGTGTCCATCCTCGATTATGCAATCACGCCATTCTTTTGTGTATATCTTGTATCAAGTTGTGCCGAGCGTTTCACGAAATGCTTCTAACATTCTTGGCTAGGATTCAGACCAACCAGGCGTCCAGTGCGCCGCACCAACTGCGTGCCCAAAGGTAGGGGTAAAAAATGTTATGCTGCACGATAGGCAGAGGTCCAATTCGTACTATGTTTTCCTTGTGGCCGTCAACCAGTCGCTGGCAGCTAGAATTTGTAGCGGCAAGTGTAACGGCTTGTGACCGTCACCACCCAGCTATCTGTGCCTTCAGGCGCTGCCTCATCCAGGGCAGATATGGAAACAAGCATCATCAAGGCGCATCACCTTTATGCATTTGCAAAAAGTGGCCATCTGACATAGCAGCCACCCAGGTGAAAATCCACAAAGTGCCAAGCCTTCCCCTGTCCCGTCTTCCGACTCGATTGGATTTGCATTCTGGTCGGGCTGTGCGCCACGGCCTGTGTGCATGGGTCGCACACGCGGAGAATGTCGACAGAGTGCTTACAACTTTATTGACGATCGTCCGTTCCGTTCAGCCCCTCTGACACTGGGCACAGCAGCATGGGTGCTAACACAGCACAGCAGCCACCACCTCAAATAGCCTAGCCACGTCAGAAAGGGCAATACAATCAAATCTTATACAATTTCTACTCGGCGTCCAAACATGGGAATTCACATCATTCTCACTCTCCCTGCACCTCGTACTCTACTATTCATATCTCATTGGAGCATGCTTCTGCAAGCCTCATAGCATGCTCTTCTAATCCTCACATAAACCCCTTGCAATGCGGCATTGCCAATGCACAGGTGGCCATCGCTTCACTCCCTCGGCACCTTCGCAGCACACTCGCAGCACCACAATTGAATCTGTGCCGCGGGCTAAAAGTTTCGCAAAAATATTCATCCACACCCACGGCTCCACCTGCCACTTTCCCCACTGCATTTTAATGCACACAAACAGCGCTGTGACATTACGGCCATGGCCACAATCAGCCAACGATACTTCTTGATTGAATTAAAGAACTAATACACTCACCCGGTGCATCAACAACAAAGTCCATAACTTTTTATGACCAGATTCTTGATGTTTCCATGTATAGTAGTTCGCATCCTTATTGAGCTGTCAAGCCTCACAAAAACACATAAGCTACCTCTGCCTGAAACATAAGAGTTGGCGAGAAATAGCATCACACCTTACAACAATCTACCTTGAATCAATTGTGCATCGATCAACCTAAAACCATGTTAATTTGGCATTTTTGTATATAGCAATATAGCAATCAATGAGAAGCCAAACCTATCTCCAGCAAGCATCTTGAGAGTTCCTCAATCACATAGACCATGTGTGACATAGACACCTGGGTTATACGTTTTGGCATTTTTTAGAGTGTGACTTAATAATCTCTATAAATCGACCCATTGTAAGTGTTATTTACCTCCTCTTGATGTATTTAGATTTTTGAAACACCTCATCAGTTAGGAATTGAGGAAGTTACGGCCCTACGAAGTTATAGTACCTAAAGGTTTAAGATTGTGGTAGTAGTTAATATGTCGAGGAGAAGGCTGGTTGATTACAGGTGGAATGGAATGGTGATGGCTGTTTGGATGTACACAGTGTGTTGTCTTGTCTTGATGTGATGGCGATGGACCCATGATCAGGCATTGTGCATGTGGACATGTGTGCGCACATGCATAGAATAGTGTTACTTGATTCCGGCTCACTCTTTGACATCCCGCGAGCCAGCGAACCACCGCCTCGCTGTGTCACCACCTCTCACTTGCAGCAGACCCCGGGGATCGATCCCTATTGAACATTGAACCCACTGTGTAACCACAAAAGCGTCTGCCCTGGATATGCCGACTGTCAAAAGTAGAGAGGTCGGCTAACTTCCAACAGCCATATTGCAGAGCAGGGCGACCTTAAAAACCAGTGGCTGCTGACGGGACCGCAACACCAAGATTTCAAATCTCCAATTCACCAATGTATTCAGCATAGGCTCGCAGCAATTTCCACAAATGTCAAGTTGCCCGATGGTATTGATGACATAGACTGGTCACCAACTTGCTTGAAACTTGGCGGCATAGTCATCAATTGCGTAGATTGCCTTGCGCCATCATCGATTGTTGCAACACACATCAACACCTTGGATCAGTTCCAGTTGACCACTATTGATGAAGACTTGGCCCACACTGGCAAAGTCTTCCCATCTGAGAAGGTTTTCGGGACATACAATCTCAGCATAGCAGCATCTCACTAGACGCCTACGTTGGCTATCTTGTCTGCCACTGTGGATAATCCGGGGACAGTACATACTCTGGCCCTGTGAAGCCTGTCACCTGTCCCTATGAGACCGTCGCTGCATTGCACCACCACCAGCGCTGGTGCCTCTCTTTGTTTGCGCTTCCACAAGTGGTAACCCCGCGCAGCCTTCGAGCCCTCCAATTGGCTTGTGGATCCATCTGCGAAGATTCGCCACGAGTCTCAGCCATTGCCGGTCCCACTGATTGCCATCGGTGCTTGCAGCCCCTCGTTCCTTATGCCGTTGCGAGCCAACCAATGTGCATTGCTGCGGCCAATCGGTGCAGATACATGCTCCCGGCAGTGTTGCGTTGTCGGACGCAGTTTCTGAGTGAGGACGCAGCTTCATGAGCCAAGCACATGCATCCAGAGGGGTGGCGAGCGGAGCCCCGTGCGTCGTGTCACTTCCTGGGATGGAGGACCTCCGTGGTGTTGGTATCGTGTCCCGTATCTTTGCAGAATCGGGCGCACATCGATATCCCATACGTCTTGTTGCAATGTCGTCCCAATATTCTCCTTTTATGTTGGAGCTCATCCCTTTGGAGAAGATTAAACCATATTTTTATACTTGTGTGGATGTTCGCCACTTCCTAACCAGCTTTTGGGGCTCACGGGGCGCCAGCTTGGCATAAATGTCATATCATATATTGGCGACCCGAACACATTCTCATGCCGGAGCATGCAATGGGCCAATGCAACGTTACATAAGTGGAGAGATTTTAACGGAATTGTGTGTCCAATGTGCCAAAAATTCAGAGCGGCGTTTTGCGGCCTTAATTGTCTGTTGCTTTCGTGTAGTGCGATGCTAAGAACCTCCAAGCAGAATTGTCCATTGTGCCTTGTCGGTCATGATTCTTGAGTCTTGGCAAATCGCAACCAGCCAACGCCCCTTTCCTGAGCCCGCAGGATTACCACCACACGCGGAGCACTGCAAACCAGAGTCCTGTGTGTGGTGCAATGGACCGACCGGGGGTGAAACCTTGAGCAATTGCCTGCTTCGGTTTCTTGGAACGCATAGCGTTTGAGCCTCAAGGGAAAGCGTGGACATCTTTGACACGGTGCGTTCATGGAGCTGTGAAGGTGTGAGAGCGCGGGGCGTAGGGAATGGGATTACAGGCGAAACGGCTCAAATCATGTGTCACCAGATGTGGCCAAATGCACTGTCCCGAATTCCGCATCACTGCTTTACACCTTCGATAGCTCTATGCTGCGCGCTTGGGGTGCTTAATACTTGGGCCGAGGGGTCTGCCTTGTCATTGAACATAATCATGTCTGAGGCAGGATCGATATGTACGTGATGAAAGGCATGGCATTCGAATGAGCAGCTGATGCAGGCATTCGAGCCCGTGGCTGGGACCTTCCGTGTCCTTTCTGTTCAGACCAGAATGGGGTCAGGCAGGCTTCAGGTTTCAATTCTCGAAACCCCGTCACACAGGTCACCAGCACTCCACCTTGTCCGCAGGCGCGGGTCTGGCGTATCCCAAGTGGTCCCTCACTAGGAACACCCTCTCAGGCAAATGGGCCACCACAGAAGCCCCCATAGCAGCGCAAGCAGCGGATCATTTGCCTGGTTCCGTCTTGAGTCGTCTGTGATGACATGGTATGACAAGACACCGACATCATACACGGTGACCTTTGGTCTGCTTGAGCGTTCACAGATTCACAATAGGCAGGCCTGTGCAGCACATGTCAGCGCAAAGCACAGGCACGCATGTGCAGGCGTCTGCACACGTGCTGTCATCCATGTGAACAGCGCATGTCTGCTCAAAACGTCAACCTGAACCATGCAATGAACATCATTCTGCCCTCACACAGGAATCAAGAAAGTTGTGACAGGCATCCAGGCCACCCACCAGTGAGTCGACGCCCCTGCATGCCACCACATTGGTCACTGAAGCTTAGGGCAAGTCGGCGACTGGGCTCGCATGAAACCTTGCATCAGCAGCACCCAACAGCATGCAGAGTGTTTGCCATTGACAGGCCTAGATGCAGGGAGCTGAACTTTCCATCAAATAGAGCACACCTCGACGCTCCCAGAAAGAGCAAGCATCTCCTGGCAAGCAGTGGCTGACTGGCCTGTGAGCCTTGAGCCCATCTCAGCCCAATAGGGGGGAAGGGAGGGGCACTCTCACACAAACATCTTTCTGGCAGCACTGCAGTCCATACTGTTGGCCACGCAGTTGTCAGACATGTCCACAAGGCTGTGCCAGATGTTTGGACAGCACCAGACAAGGTGCTACCTGCTCAGTACCCAGTGCATGCAATTGCCACAGAGAGACCAAGTGCAGTTGCTGCTGCTTGGACGACAAGGAAGTGGCGCACAGTTGATGCCTCTGAGGGGAGCATCTCATGGCCATTAAATATGATTTGGGCATCTGTGCTGACACCATTCGCTATGCAGACAACTGGGGATGCATATTAGTCCCCGATGATGGTCTTGTGTCAGCAGGCACAACCCTGTTGTAGAGTTCAGCTCACGGGGTAGTGAGGGCAATAAATTGTTGTCTTCACCGTGAAGGGAATCTGTTTAAAAAGTCAGCAAGCAGGTCTTCATCCAGGTATGGCTGCAGCTGCCAAACCGTGCAGTAGATGTCCAGCTCATCGACTGGGGTGTCAAGCTGGATCGAAGGGCAAACACGGTCCTGAACAACACATCGGGGTGAATGTCATCATCATCGCACGCTTTCCTGATTCACTGGGAAACTGCAGCAACTTTTGCAGCATTTTCACAATGTGAAAATGCATATCAAAACTATCTGGCTGAAGTGGAGATACCCATGGTTGACATTTGTTAATCCTCATTGAAAAGAAATTCCATGGGTGCAAAGGGATCAGCACAGGCATGCAAGTAAGTAAGGTACAAGATGGTACATTTTATCTGAATGAACAGTTCACAGCACTGAAAATGACATAAATGTTTTAATCTGTGACCTCATGTGCTGCACCCCAGTGGAACCATGCGAGAAGAGTGCATTGTGAAATTTGAAACCATGAAGGGAAGAAGCATCGTGGTCGCACTATACACACATCCTCACCAAATTTGTGCAAGAGCAATTTCGTGCCATGTGTGACAACTGAAAGCACAAAAAAGACCTGACACACATCCTCACAGCCAGCTTTGCCTTGAATTGGCATTGTTACCATTATCTGCAGCTCCTTCTCAAGGCCATCCAAAAGAGAGACCATCATGAAGAGAATATCCGAGCCTGAGCACTCCTCAGATCTGTTGGTACTGGTCACATCTACAACTGCTGTACTGTGGTCCTCGCCTTGTGTGTTTTCCGAACTGATGGCTGAGTGCATTCCCGTGTGGGTGGAGGTATCCATGCCTGAATCCGGTCGCCCCCAAGTGGGCTGGAATTCTGGTGCTGCCTCCCACTGTTGTTGAGCTTGCTCCACCAGGGCTTGGAGTCGGGACAACAGGCTTCCAGAGGCTGCATGGACGTGCTGGAGCCTGAGATACTGGTCTTGGAGGCTCTGTGCCTGCTCCCAGCCTTGACCTCCGTCGATCAGCCAGCCCGACTTAAGGTAAGCATCCAGTCTCAGGGAGGGCGCCTGATAAGACATTCCAAATCAGCCAGCCCGACTTAAGGTAAGCATCCAGTCTCAGGGAGGGCGCCTGACACAGCATTCCAAATCAGACATGTGACAACCACGTGATGCCAAGACTTACCTGTTTGAAGGGATAGCCTCCCGTTTACATTCTCCATGTGATTGCCTGGCACTTCAAGCAGCAATGCCTGTCTTTTTGAATGGGCATAAGGATGGCTCTTCGCTCAAAGACAACTCACAGATTGATGACCGGCCTCAGCTACTCGAGTCGGTGCAAATTCTTTGTTCACCGCATGGGACAGCGCACCTGTTTTGCAACCTCCTTCACAATATGGGGCGGCTCGCTCGTGCTCGATTGAATAGACTTCAGATGGCCAGTTATGCGAAGCAACGCATCGGCACCACGGGCTTTCTGTTCTTGCCATTTCTGAAGGCGCAAACGGAGACCACTTCAGGAACAGCATTGGAACGGCTGCTGCTTTTTGCGTTCTCGGCTGGCCTGTGCACTCACCAACCTGTAGGATTGCGCACATCTCTGTCGCTGAATCTTTCAGTGATCTGCCAGTACCGTCCATTGCGCCGTCGCCAGCGTCGTGCGCCCACCTGGGCGAAAGGTTCACCCAGGTCCCAACTGGTCTCAACTTTTTGCAATGACACTGTGCCAGCAGCCCTGGTACAGTACTATGGGCACATTTTCAGTTTGCTTTTTCCATTTTGTTTTTTACATCCGAGCGGGTCCGGATGCCAACTAATGCCGTATAGACATCAGAGGCGCATCTGTTTGGCAAGTTGTACTGACTGCGTAATCTTGCCCATTTTGGCGAAGCTGCGGTTTTGTACAGTGGTTCGGCTACTTAGCTTTGCTCTTGTGTTTTAGATTTTACCCCTGTTGTTTGACTTCGAGGTTTAAGGTACACGGACTGCTGCAAAGACTGCACCATAAGCACAATAAAGAAAGCGCAATGAGTTCAATTTTGTGTGGCTTGGTCCCTAACTGCACTGCCACCTAATTGGCTGACAGCTTTGAGCAAACAACTTAAAAATGTCGAGGACAAGTCAGGCCAAGCCCGTACATCGCAGACGATTTATACTTCCCTTAGTGACCGAAGGACAGCACTATTCTGAAAATACATTGTCTGTAGTGCATAGATCTTGCCCTTCCCATGCATTGGGCCATCTTTTTCAGGATTTCCTGATGGTGAAGACCCTACCGCAGTTGTGAAGATCAGGGTGTGAGCTTGGAGTAGTCCCACACCCTACATCGACCACGCTGCTTATGGTTCCGACGTTGCACCTTGGCCAGCTGCCACACTTGAGCGCTGATGGGGCCAAATCCCCTTTCCCGGACCACCGCCACGCCGTTGTGATGCTGTTACATAATACGATGCAATGAAAAAAGGAATCATAAACTACATAGTGAGTATGTGCATGGGTGCCTATGTGGTGAACGCAGCTTTCGCCTTTGGATGTATATTTCGTACACCATGAATGTCATTTGCCCATGCTTTGCAGACTTGGTATTCGTTCTCCTACCAACTTGTACTGTGCTGTGCAGCACCTGCCAAACAGTATAGCAAGAGAGCGTCCCTACGGCTGCAATGAACGCACGTGAATAGAGGCTGTGTTTGTGAAGCCATGACACCGCAAGCCGCCCATCAGCATGGGGGGCTGGGGAGGGCGCAGTAGATTTCGGGTTGAATGGTGGCCTCATTTTGGGCTGTGGATCGGAGGGTGTCAAAGTTCCATAGCCATCCCGGTTCGAGATCCTGCTCGTCACAATCGAATGCGCACAGCGACGGATCACAACGCAACACAAGTCAATCCATTTTGGCTCGAACTCTGTTGCAACCTTGGTGCACGCGGTGCTCAAACGCACTCGCTGTGCATGGTCAGACAAGCAGCCAAGACTGAGCTTGTCTTACAACCACACAAAAAGAAGCCGGACAAGACTCGGGCTATCTTTAAATACCGGAGTATGTCTCTATTTTTCGCTCACCAGAACTCCCACTCAGAATGGTGAACTGAACTCATACTGCACATAAGCATATGCACAACACGCTATCCCGCAGCACCGACCAACAACATCGACCGACGGCACTAACCCTCAGCTCCAATGCACAGCACCAACTCACGATCACCAGAATTAGTAAAACCCAAGCTAGTGTTGGCTAGCCGTCCTCCCGCCATCTCAATCAGGTCGATGAGTGCACCAGTCAGCCGGCACATAGACAGGTGCTTGCACATAGTGGCAGCTGCGGCCGTCTTGGCGTGTCAGACTTTCATCTTTTTAAACAGGCTCCCATGTCTCTTTTCACTTTTCTCACTTTTCACTGCACATCGGTGTCCAGCCACCGACCTCGAGTTACAGAGAACCTGGAAAGTTGCGAGTGAAGCACCAATAAACAGTGACAACCATTCAACAATAGTGTTGATGGCATTCCCTGAAATGAGATCAGATGCCATCATTTAACTTCAATCGCCGGATTATGAATTAGTAACTGACGGAGGCAGATCAGTGGTCAATTATTAGTGATACGAACAGAGGGTTTGGGAGGGTGCTTCGAATTGCTGATTGCAACAGTTATCGGCTGTTATCGGATTGGGGTTGGAAGTTTCGTTTGGAATAGATATCGGCACCGGTTTGCAATCGAACATTGAAAATGTAATTGATTTTGTCTGGCCACCACTTGCGACTCAAGCAGTCCTTTGTTTGATCACAAGCAATATTGCTTGTGACCCGTGTTAATCATCTTCTGGGAATCAAGCTCCGACTTGGACAACATGTGAATTATCCCTTGAGCTGCTGGCGAATCGGCCCACGCGGTGGAAGGGAGGGGACCATACAGGTCGTTGGTGAGCTATCCATCGCATCACATACATGACTTTCATACTTAGACATCCAGGTGGGGATTCCAAAGGCAAAGCCCCTGTACTGGGGTTTAGCTGACGACACAATGGTGTAGGTTGTATGCAGCGCGATGTAGAGCACACGGCAAGGTTGGCCAATACAGGTTGGGGTGCTTGCAGACTTCCAACATTGGAACACATGTTATTCCACACATCCGCACGTTGGATCACGTGTTAACGCAGCCACCCACGTGGGTGGACATGTCCTGATGTACGCGAGGCTGTATTTTTATACATTTTCACGAGATAGAACGCAAAATTTTATTTATACGCGTAAAACCATGAATGCTATCTGTGTGTTGCGGCCCAAATAGCAAGCCTGCTGCCGTGCACTAGCTGTCTTCGGGAACATCTTTTAGCAGAGGAACTGCAGCATATGATTATTGGTGGCCCCGGTTGCGAAGTCACTGGAGTTCGAAACTTTGACTCGAAGCAATTCTCTTGGCATAAGTCTGTTCGGCGGAGTTTGAGCAGGTGAAATTAGCACGCAATCAACTGCAGTCCAAGTTAAACAGTGATGCAACAGGTCGCGATTCCCACAACAGAGTAACCAAGCTTGAGCATTACGAGTGTGTGCGATTTTGGACGTGCGTGAAATTGTGCGTTCTTTTGCCACAGTTGCATGCATATTTACGCGAATAGTTAGATTTGGACGTGAGCAGTTACTCGCACAAAAACTGATAATGATACCTGTATTATGCGCAAAACCAGTGTTTTGCATTGTACAGCGCGCCTATTTCTCAACCACACCAGCTCCGTTATAGCTCCGCCCTAGATAGGGCACCAACAACAGTGATCCTGTTGACCATGAAATATGACTTGTTTTCCAAAAGCACGGACATTCAGGCCATTGCTATGTTGTGTACAAGCGCCCTCGCCAACAAGGCTCAAAACTGGGTTCATGAGGACGGCACAAGACATCAGAAAAACGCAATCACGCGTTTCCATAGTCACCATTACCGTGATAGGTGCTTAAAGATCGGCTGGGGAAATGCCATTCCATTGTGTAAGTATTGGGTACTTTATACATCTCCTTCTTCAGATCGCGTTGAACTGCTGACAATCGACTGTTGCTTCATTCGCCTCCTAAATTGAATTTTGATGGAAGTAAACGTGGGATGAAAGAGAACCAAATCGTGCACTTCTAACCAGTGGTCACTGGGCGTTTGACATCAAACCCCCAGAGACTGCGTCATGGGACAGCTCATCGCCGCTGCAATTTGTGCTAACGCCATGCCATTTTGGTGACATGAAATATCTTTTTACACACGCAGAAGTAGTTTAGGGCTGTGATTTGGGGTGCATTGCAATTGATCGTCCGCGGTCTCGCCACCAACAGGATGATTTGTCTGCTGGCTGCGCGACTGCGGCATACAATTACTGGCTGCACCAAATCGGTGACTTTTTGCACTAAATCGGTGACTGCTTGCACCAACTGCCTCCAAAACTTACCTAACCTAAAACTTGAACCCTAAAACCTAGGCCTAGACCTACCCTGGCCCTAACCCTAACCCTACAACTCACCCTGAAACTAAAGCTAACCCTAAAACTGAGGTTAGGACACAGTGTGCACGTGACTTGGTGCAAGCAGTCACCGATTTGGTGCAGGCAGTAATGGAATTAACTATCCTGTTAATGGGTTTCTGCTAAGGACGACGATTGGGTGGGCGCGCAACGGCCAGGGCGGGCCGTTCCGCCCTTTGGGACAGTTTGGCCATCCATCAGCCGGGTTTCTGTCACCCCTGTACTCGGGGTCAGTGCTACCCGACGCACCCAAGGGCGGTGGGGTTGATCCTTGTACCTTGGGCGCAGCCAAGGGGACCGGTCAAGCTGGCCCTTGGGTTTGGCGGGGAGTTTGGCGGCAAGTGGGAGCGGCTATTTTAGGCGCGACCCTTGGCGCCCCCCTTTATCTTGTTTCGCTTCGCGCCAACCTTTGGCACAACCCGGAACCACAGAGTGGTTCGACCTTCCGGCCTTCGCGCCGAGTCCTTTCTGTATGAACCCCAGCCCGGCCGAACAGTGGCTGCGGGCTCAGGCGCTTCGTTTCAACCAGCGCCTCCCTGACCGTCCTATTGAGGTCACGTGGGTTTCCGACCCCCGCTTACTCCCCCGCTCAGTCAACAACCGGGTCGCCAGGCCGGACTTCACGTCTTTTCCGGCGTGGTTCGACGTACGGGAGACCGGCCAGGGCCAGACCGTCGCCGCAGCCTTGGGACCCAACTCCGGCTACTTCCAGGAGTATGCGAGCTGGGCGCCGTGGGTCGCGTGGCAGTTCGACTACACGGCGGCCTTCGTGGACCTGGTCGCCCATCCGAGTCTACCGCCTTCGATCCGCAATCTTCTCCTGCCGTACGTGTACGCCTCGGTGGCCATTACCGAACGGCAGGTCGACCAACTGCGCCTCCATCAAGTGCACGCGAAGCACCGCGGCACCGGGCTCGAGGGATCCTGGCGCGCGCTGCAGGCCTAGATCCGCCTCAGCGAACCCGAAGGCGGCTTCACCACCGAGACCATCGACGGGACGCTGGGCGCCATCCGCAAGGAGCTCCTCACCCAGGAGGTCAAGCTTGCGACCAAGGCGGCCGCGGCCAGTCGGGCATCCAAGGCGGGGAGCGGCGATCCTCCGGCCCATTCGAACGGCCCGTCGGGGAAGCGGGGCAAACGCCGC